CTGCGGGTGGGCTGGGGTGTCGGGGAGGAGCGTCCAGCCTGGCCTGCGGGTGGCCTTGACACAGGGGTGTGTCCACCCTGGCCGGCAGGTGGAGAACAAGGAGCTCAGGCAGCGCGTCCTCTCGGAGCCCGTTTCGTACTCAGACAGGTTCGGCCGGGCCAGCAGGGACTTCTGTGAGGCCCTGCTGGAGAAGGACCCGGAGAAGCGCCTGGGCTTCAGAGATGGCTCCTGCGACGGGCTGCGTGCCCACGCCCTTTTCAAAGACATCAGCTGGAGGAAGCTAGAGGCCGGTACTGTTGGGCACCTTGGGCCTGAGGGACTGCATGGCCCTTGCATCCCTGCCCTGTCCAGTGGTGGGTCCCCAGCTACCTCTTGCCCAGCAATGCCACCCAGCCCTCTGTCCATCCCCAGCATGCCGGGCCTGGGCACTGCAGTGGGCGTGTGACCCTGAGTTCAGCTGTGCTTGGTGTCCACCCTGTGGCTCTGAAGGCCATAGCCATGGGAGGCAGGGTACTCACACTGTGGAGAGGTGTGGTCATGACCATGGCTGTCCTCAAACTGTGTGTGTCCACCTGTGTCCTCACCGTGTCTTCAAGCATGATGTGCACATTTGTGAGTCTGTGTGTATGTGTGCTCCTGGGCGTGTCTATGCGTGTGTGTCTGAGAGGGACGTGGAAGGCCCAGCTGTCCCTCCAGGAGCCTGGTGGAAGACCTGGACATCATCACGATACAACTGTGCCTAGGACAGAGCCGGGGGCCCGGGGCCAGTTCAGCACCCTGGGGAGAAGCTGTCCCGGGAAGGTCAGGCAGGGAAGTGGGCTCTGCGTGGGAGAGCCGTCAGGACACAGGCCCCAGGAAGGACGCGGGTCCTGGGAGCCCCAGGACTGTGCTGCGCCAGACCAGGCTGAGTCGGGGTGTCCAGTGCAGCTGGTGGGGAAGGAGCACACAGAGGCCTTGGAGGGGCAGCAGCTGGCCGCCTGCACCCGGGTGTCTGTGTGAAGGCGGGGGCTAGGGGGCGCCCAAGGACCTTGTGCACCGAGGGAGGGTCTGGGGGTCTGCACACGTGGGGCTCGTCAGGGACTGGCATCCTGCATCTGCTGGCTCCTGGGCATGTGAGCAGAGGCCATCTTGGGAGGGAGGGTCAGTGGGGTCAGTCCCCCCAAGCCGCAGCTGCAGCAGCAAGCCCACCTGGGCACGAACCAGGGGCTCTGGGCCACAGAGAGGTCGAGGGAGCTGCTGAGGGCCGGAGCAGGAGGGCTGCTCTCAGCAGGCTTTGGGGGGGTCTGGGGAGTGCGGGCGAGGGCTGGGTGGCTCATGGTACACTGCCCAGCCCGGCTTCAGGCATCCAGCTGTCCACACAGCACAGAGCACTGGACCCCAGGCCGGGATCTGAGAGACGCTGCTTTTCTCCTGGGCTGCTGGAGGCCCATGCTCTGTCCTCCTCACCTGGGCCTCCTCTCACCTGTCCTCCTCACCTGGGCCTC